GGTGCTCTCTTTGTGGTGAAGATATGGGGAGGGGTCTTGGCTTGGTGAACAGTTAACATTTTGGTAACATCTAGGTCATCGTGAAATGTGATTCAGCTGGGTATCTTTAAGTCTGGAATCCATGTCCCTGGTTGAATTCTGCCCAAGAGATTTGCCTTTGGCCAGCTCATGCTGCTGAATTGTGCCAGGGGCAAGATTGAACAGTGCTGTATCAAGTCCAGGCCTGCCATGAAGTCTGGGTTTATAGGACTCCCATCTTACACACAGTGCTCTTGTAGTCTTCCTCTTTTCAAAGAGTTGCAGCTCACGCATCTTATGTTGAGAGAGCTGCTGTGCCTTCCACTGTCCTCCAGCTGTGGGGGCTAGTTGGCCTTTTGGTTTCGCTGCTTTATCATTAAGCTCCCAGGCATTTTCCACAGTTTCCATGAGTTGTGGGCGCTCTGTGCTGTATTTGTCCTATGGGCCGTTCTCCACTCATACTTGTCCTGGCTTTGTGTGCTGTAGCTCCTCCTGTCACTGTCTGCTGTAAGTTCAACTTCATCCATAAAAAGAATGTCTCAGATTAGATGAAGCATGGCTGTGGTTATGGTTTGTGGGATGGATTCTGCTGTTCCGTTTTGTGTTCTGCGTATGGAATTCTATCTCATTTTCCTGGTTCTAAGTGTGGCCAGCTGACCCTGCAGTCAGGTTGAGGCCCTCGGAGTTCACAGAGACTTCATAGAGGAGCTACTTTGGACTTGGGGACAGCTGTCAAGATGTCTCTGTCGAGAAGGAAGTTGAAAACCAATAAGCCTCTGTCAAATATAGCCAGCAGTGTTAACTGGGGAGAGCAAATTGGGTCAGGGTGAGTGAGGGTTTGGGGTTAAAGTCATCTCCAAAAGATTGGACACCTGGGCCCTAAAATCCATTTGCCTGAGATTAAAGGCCGAACAGGAGAGCTGAGCCTGTCTGAGCTAGATTTCCAGGACAGCTTTAACTGCATTTGGCCTTAAGTCATCTGCCCCTGTAAATTCTTACAAACGAATTACTTAGCAAACCAGTTTTTCTCCCATCCTCCGCCTACTTCCCTAGTGGCAGTTCTAAGCTCTCACCCCTGTTTCCAGGTTTGTACCGAACCCCACACCCTGGCCCCCTTCCCCTCAGAGGAGGCTTCCTCTGATCTTACCTGGTCTCATTCCAGATAGATATTTAACTCTACAGCTGAATCTTCTCTTCCTTCCAGTATCAGAGGACTAGTACTTCTCTTTGCTTCTTACTCTTGTGCTTTGCTCTTGGGTGTCTCTGTTGCCCTCAACCAATATTTTTTCCCCTTTGTGGCGTCCGTCCACGAACATACAGAGCTCCTCCCTTTCTCATAAAACTCGTAGTTTTAAAATAATTATTGTAGTTTTAAATAATTATTGTAGTTTTAAATAAATTTAATTATTATAGTTTTAAATAAAATAATTATTGTAGTTTTAAAATAATTATTTATAAAATAATAAAAAGATTTAAATAGTTGTGAGAATAGTATAAAGAACTCCCCTTTGCCCAGACTGACTAATATGGTGAACATTTTGCCGCATTTGCTTTATCATCGTATGCATTTGTTGAACCATCTGGGAATAAATTACAGATATTGTGTCCCTTTACCTTTAAATACCCAAGTGTGTATTTCCTAAGACCAAGGATGTTCTCTTGTATAACCACAGAACAGTTGTCAAAAGCAGGAAACAACATTAATTCAATATTATCTAAGAACGTAGTCATGTTTAAATTTTGCCGATGGTCCTAATAAAGGCCCTTAGGCCTTTTCCCCACCCAGTCTAGGATCCAGTTCAGAATCACGCATTGCCTTTAGTTGTTAGCTCTCTCAGTCACCTTCAATCTGGAACAGTTCCTTAGGCTTTGTTCTCCATGACACAGATTTTAAGAGTAAAACCCAGTTACTTTGTAGAGTGTCCTGCAGTTTGGGGTTGTCAGGTTACGTATGTTTGTGGAGGGTACCTCGGAAGTGGTGATCTTGAGACCAGCGCGGCAGGAGGCAGGGCCTTCGGCTCCCTCATCAGTGATGTTAACTTTAATCACATGTTAACCAGGACTTTAAAGCAAAACAAAGTATACTTGATTTCTGTATACATACCAATGCTTTGCTGCTTAATATAATTGTGGTGATACACGTGCCTTGTGTTAGTGCACCTTTTTGTATTCCTTTATTCTTGGCCTACCTTTTTTTGCCACATTGGCCCCCAACTCCCCATAATCCATATGTACTCATAATTTTGTATGTATTGACAGTACAGTACCCCCTTAGACCCAGGCAAGAAGGGCCTCTGCCCCGGGCTGAGCTTCAGGGCATCCCACTCTGTCCCTCCTCTGGCCATGTCCCTCTCCACCAGATGAGGTAGGTTCGAGGGGCTAAGCGGATGGCCACTCAGGCCCCACCGGTGTGCTGCCCGCTCCCCCCACCCGCCGTCCCCTGCTCTAAGTACTGGAATTCCCCACCCAAATCACTTCGAAGCTGATTCCAGAGTCTTTGTAGGCCTGTTCCTCAGAGCGGCATTTTTGAGGGCAGCCTTGCCAAGGCTTGCAGTGACCATGGAGCAGTGGAGGCATGGGGGAGATGCAGCCTGGGTGTATGGGCTGGGGTGTCCGTCCACATGCCACCATCCACAAGCCCCCTCAGCAGGATGGAGAGGACATGGGGTTGGGCAGAGGGCTTGGAGGCCACACTGCCAAATTCTGTCAGTGAGCTGAGGAATTCAAGAGTTCTAAATTTGAACCTGGCCTTCCAGCTTGTTATGAAAGTGTATTTGTGAAGGTAGGAGAATAGAATGTATTTTATTTAGCAGTGTAATAATTTATAAACGTTTTAAATAACTAGACTTGCTATGTGGACCAATATTTGTTCTTCTGCTCTTGGCCCCATAATTATTAAGGGTAGTCCCATTTACAGATGTGTGTATGTGTACACACGTACTTATATGTATAAGCATGTACCTGTTTGTCATTCTTTTATAAATATTGGCATCATTCTGTGCACTCTTTTTGTATCTCATGGAAATCCCTCCTGGTCGTCTGCCGAAGGTCAGATTCATCCTTTTGATTCCTTGGATAACGTCCTGAGTGCAGGTGTACTGATTTATTCAGCCATTCCTCTACTGATAGTCATTCACTTTATTTTTTTGCTGCTCTGAACGATGTTGCAGCAATGACTTTTTTTTTTTGCTGCACTGCATGGCTTGCAGTATCTTAGTTCCCTGACCAGGGATCGAGCCCGGGCCCCAGCAGTAAAAGTGCCAAGTCCTAACCACTGGACCGCCAGGGAATTCCCAGCAACCACTCTTGTACAACGGTCTTTCACAGATGAGTAAATTGCTACCCACCATTCACTCCCTTGAAATAAATCATCTTTTTTTTTTTTTTTTTTTTGTGGTACGTGGGCCTCTCACTGTTGCGGCCTCTCCCGTTTCAGAGCGCAGGCTCCGGACGTGCAGGCTCAGCGGCCATGGCTCACGGGCCTAGCCGCTCTGCAGCATGTGGGATCTTCCTGGACTGGGGCCCGAACCCATGTCCCCTGCATCGGCAGGCGGACTCTCAACCACTGCGCCACCAGGGAAGCCCGAAATAAATCTTAAAGATTGGTATGAACCTTTTTTGAATTAAAAAAAGAATAGAGAAATGCATGATTTTAGACTATAGAAATTCTCTGTAATCTCACCTGCCAGAAATAATTGACATTACATTTGGAGTTTATTTTTCCAGGCTCTCTTTCCATGCAGGTGGCAACATATACAGGTATATATTCTGAACAGAAATGGACTTATGAATACACCTCTGCAGCTTTCTCACTGGTGACCTTTCATCGCCGTGTTCAGTGGCCTTCATTTCTTATCATCTTGGCTCACTCTGGAGCATCCCAATCTTCCTGGTTGACTCTGTCTTTTGTGTGTTTCCCCTCCTCTCTCTATGCCCTAAATGTAGCCACTCAAGTTTCAGTCCCCGTATTTCTAGGTATTTGTTTTTTATTTCTAATTGGACAGCCCAGCATCACATGCATTAAGCCACTTTCCCTCATTGCTCCGTTTTCTGGAAATGTTTCTGGCATTTCCCTCAGTTACCCTGGTTCCTGGCTTCCAAGTCTCCTTTCCTTTGGCTCTTCTCTCTCCTTTGGTCCTTATAGCTGAGCTGTCGCCAAGACACGGTTAGGTTAGGACACCATGGGCCAGTCTTCCTCCTCCTCTCTTCCTCCATCTTATGCTGATGAGTTTTCATAGTTGCCTTCATGAAAGTTTTCATGCCATCCTAGAGTGCCCTCTTGATTCCTGCTGGTGGTACTTGCTGATGAGGTGGATTGACACTCCAGTAATCCTAACACAATGCTGTCTTCCATCATCTGTGGAGGTGCCATTGACCCAGTGGAAATGTGCCCTTTGTATTCTCATAGCAGAGCTCCATGGAATGGACCCCTCCCACACTCACACCTGACCCCGTGCTGCGTGAGGAGAAGTCCTGCCTCCAGGGGCACTGAGGGCAGGTGCGTGCACACAGTGGAGAGTCAGGGGCCCATCTTGCCCCACCTTTGGTGCATGTGTTTGACCCTTTGGAAATGTGCTTGCCCCAGACCTTATTTCCCTAATCTGTGAATTATAGTTGGACCCCCACATGGCCTCCTAAGCCTTTTCTAATTCTGAAGAAAGGGTGACTCCCTTTAGGAAGCCTCTGGCATTAAGCCAGGAGTATAGTAACCTGAGAAGCCTCAGGGCCTCAGGACAACCCTTTCCCATCAGAGGAAAGGCGGCTCACAGGTATAATAAGCTCTAGAAAAACTCCCTGTTGGAGGATCCCCTATGAGAAGAGGGGTGCTCATCAAATACGGGCTGGGGGTCCATGGGCACGGGGCAGCCATCCTCTCCCTTGACCTTGACTTTTTTCCCACCCTCCTGTGACTCAGCTAGGTCAGCCTCCCACATGGTCCTTACAAAGACTGGAGTTAAAGCAACTATGATTCCCTATTCTAGGTCAAGACCAGTGTCTTCTGAGGACTTCAGAGAGAGCTCTTTATCTCAAAAGGTAAGAAAGCCATCAGAATTGATAACGGGAGGGGGTGTTCCAGAGCCACCAGACATCACTCATGGGCATCCAAGTCTGGCGGTTATCAGCTTATCAGCCTCTGCACGGGGAGATATTTACAAAGTAACAAGTCTACTGCAGTAGGCTGGTTTTCCCTTTTAAAGCATTGTGTGGGCCAAATGCAATAAAACTGAGGCCACCAATTTGCAGTCTCTACATGGACTGTACTTAATTTTGTCCAGCTAAGTTGTGATAATGGTGGGGTGGGCTGTACAAAGTATTATGAAGCCAGATGAGTATTTAGTGTCCATTATGTGCTTGGGGCTGGGGAAAATAGAATTAGTATAGATTAAACCAAGATAATTTTAAAATGCCCTGGCCTTCAAAGAGCTCACTGTGAGATGGGGAGTAATAACAGGAGTTCTCATTGATTGTGTAATACAATTTGTTGGGGCTTCACATGTGTTCAGGTGTCATTTTATCTCACTACAACCCTTCAAGGTGGATACTGGGGAGAGATTTTGCAGATAAGGAAACTCATGGCTCAGAGAAGTGATGTGATATGCCCATGATAAATTAGCTTGGGAGCAGGGAGCCAGGCAGAATTCTAGCCCAGAGAGCTCTGGGACTCTACAGCCGTGTGTTTCCCATCACACCTTGCTGTCACACATATGGATAGACATGCACAGGTGTCAAGCATGCAAGGCAGATAGGAGCAAAGAGTTTGGAAGCACAGAGGTGGCAATGATGACTCTCACCTGAAAGTTATTGAAAAGCTCCTTGGAGGAGGTGTCATTTGAGCCAGAGTTTGAAGCATGGGTAGGAGTTCATCTCTGGGGATGATGGTCTGTGTTGCATAGAGGGAAAGACGTGAGGAGAAGTGGAATGCTGTCTGTGTGTTGGGGGGTGGTGGAGAGCAGTTGGCGTGCCTGGACCATGGTGTCTGCATTACAACTAGAAAGACAGATCAGGGCTACATTGCAAAGGGCTTTGAGTGCCACACTCAGGAGTTGGGGATGATGGGAGTAGCCTGGAAAGTGTCAGCTGGGATCGAGTCGTGATCAGATTTGCCTTCCAGAAAGATAATTTGTGCGAGTGTTTTGGGAGGTGGATTTAAAGGGAAGACCAAATTCTGGTCCCAGTTGGGGAAGGTCATTGTACTTGTCCCAGCAAAAGGCTAGGGTTTAGGGTGGGGCAGGGATGTGGGAGAGGAGGGTCTAGATATAGGAGATGGATCATAGTAAGAATCAATAGGAAGGACAGTAAGAATGCAAGGGAGGCAGAGGGAAGAACCAAAGATGGCGGTGCGATTTCCAACCTCGGGGCCTGCGTGGCTGGTGAGAGCATTAACTAGCTCATCTGTTGGGCTCCGTGAAGGCAGGTCTCCACTCTGTTCGATGGTGTGTCCACAGTGCCTGGCACTCAACGAATATGCCTAGACCCTGAGGGAATGAGGGAAAGTTCACAGTTGGAGGAGCACTGCGTTTGGTGTGACTGGGGTGGGGAGAGTGAGTAGTCCAAACTCCACCTTGTCTTTTGACTTTCTGAACCGAAGTCTTCTTCACTGCCCAAGGCCCAAAGCAGTGCATTTCAGTGGGCAACACCCAATGGTTATCACATAGTCCACACCTGGAGTCTTTTGGGGGAGGTGGCCTTTGATGACCTGAGTCTTCAGGAACCTGCAACACTCTGCTAAGGGTCAAAATGAGTCACGTGTAGGGGCGGCAGAGGGGAAGCTTTGTTGAGGGCTGGGGGGATGGGGAAGGCTGGGTGGAGAATGCGGGAAGGTGAGCAGGAGGTGGCGGAAGCCTAGAGCCCCCGATGGAGGGGACTGCGTGAGCTCGGCTGTCGCGCACAGGTGATCTGACCTGATCCGGGGTGTCTGGGCTGGTCAGCACAGAATCACATTGGCTGGAGAAGATGGAGCTGGATTCCTTGGGCTCTTGAGTTCTGACCACTGAAGATTTGAAACTATATAGTTACTCAACTGAAGCACCTTGTCGAGTCCTGTGATGTGTGAGGTGGGACCTTGGCTGTGTCTGCTAACCTCGCTGAGCCTCAGTTGTGGCATCTGTAAAAGGGGAACAGTAGTTAACTCCCCAGAGTCAGGAGAAGCGGTCTAGATCTTCCTTGGGCTTCCTAGGCCTAAAAGTGGTTAAAGACTTACTTGTTTGCATCAGTAAGTAACACACCACAACACTACCTACCCCAAAGGTGTGCTCTTTCAATAAGATGTGCTGAAACTGTTCAGCTCAGGAAATCACCCCTCTCAGGGCCTGGTTCCTGTAGTCAGCTGTGTTCCAGGTGTCCTCTGCAGGTGGGTCCCAGAAGAACAAGGAGGTTCTCAGCTCCCCGACACCATCCGTCTCCCTTAGCCAGACATCCGACTTCCAACACGAGTCTCAGCTGTTCACTGAGCCACACCTGGCCCAGATGGAGAAAACGTTTCAAGATGAGGTCGACTCGACTGGAGGTGAGGCTACGTCATGGGCTCAGCCTCTGGCTTCTGCACAGGGAGGGACCCAGGACCTGGTGTAGGTGAAGGGTGCAGACTTGACAAGTGTTTTTATATCCAGTATCTCCTTTAAAACTTTTCGTCGTTATACTGTGTGGGTATTGTAAGCCTACTAGAGGCTATGTGGGACCGAGGAAAAAAATACCCCTAATCCAAACACTTGGGTAATCTCTATCAGCATTTCAGTATGTTTTCTTCCAAACAGTTTCATATGTATGCTTCATTTTCTATTGCTGTGTAGCAATATTCCCACAAAATTAGTGGCTTAAACCAGCACTTGTTTATTATCTCACCATTTCAGTTGGTCAGGAGTCTGGGCACAGCTTAGCTGGCTTCCCTGCTCAGGGTCTCACTAGGCTGCAGCCAAGGTGTCAGCTGGGGTTGCAGTATCATCTGGGGCTTGACTGGGAAGGATCCACTTTTTTTTTTTTTTTTGCTGCGTCGGGTCTTAGTTGCAGCAGGCAGGCCCTTCGTTGTGGCACACGGGCTCCAGAGCGCATGGGCTCTGTAGTTTGCAGCACGTGGGCTCTCTAGCTGAGGCGCAAGGGCTCAGTAGTTGCAGTGCATGGGCTTAGTTGCCCCTCGGCATGTGGGATCTTAGTTCCCCGACCAGGGACTGAACCCGCATCCCCTGCATTGGAAGGTGGATTCTTAACCACTGGACCACCAGGGAAGTCCCGGAAGGATCCACTTCTAAGTTCACCAGGTTGTTGGCAGAATTCATCTCCTTGAAGCTGCAGGACTGAGGGCTCTTGTTTCTTCCTGGCTATTAAAGGGCCACTGTTTTCAGCTCCTGGAGCCGCCCAGTTCCTGGCCCTGTGGGACTCACCAACACGGCTGATTTCAAGACTCAAGTCAGGCAGGAAGATAGCAACTCCAGCACGATGTGTGCTACAGTCTCATAATCATGCACACACAGTCCCGTATATCCTGTCACCTTTGCCGTATTCTGTTGGTCAGGAGCAAGTCACAGGTTCTGCCACACTCAAAGGCAAGGGATCACAGGAGGGCATGAACGCCAGGAGGTGGCCATCATGGGGCCACCATCAGCCTCTCTGCCCCAGATGGCTATGTGTGTTTTCACATGTCTGTAATTGTACTTTATGTAATTTCAGACCCTTCTTTTTCTCTTAATGTTAATTCCTTAAGGGTTTTTTCATACTTTATGTGGTCTTCTGAATCATCCTTAGCAGTGAATGCAAGTGCTCTACTGGTTGACTAAGCCATTTCCCTAAATGAAACATTTAGGTTTTATTGAGTTTAAATAACATTGTGAAGAACATCCTTTGTGCATCAAACTTTTTTTCTCTTTAGAGCTTGATTTATGCCCTTGGGAAGATACACATAAACTTAAATTATTCCTATTGGAATACTTAAAGTCATCTTCATTTCTGTCCACTAGACTCTGAGCGCCAATGCTGGGGCCATGTCTGCTTGCCCCATCAGTTTGAGTATTACAGCCACACCGTGTTTTGGCAGGAAAGGGTAACAAATGGTCAGTTTAAGAAGAGCAAAGTGAGGTGGGGGAGGGACAGTTTGTGTCTGACCTGAAACTGAGATTGTCCCTAATCAGAGTTCTTCGGGTGTCGGTGTTTGGCGGCCAGGAGGTGCCACCACTGTGTCTTAGAGGACCCGACAGCCCCAGCTTTAGCCACAGTTTTTATTCTGTTTGTCTTTTGTTTTGAACAGGTAATATAGGCACACAGTTCAAAATTCAAAAGGTGCCGTTACCTCTCCCTCTTTTCGAAGCAGACCACCATGCAGTATTTTTACAATGCTGCATTACAAACGTTTTCCAAAAAAAAAATTCAAAAGGCACTTTTCTCATGATACCTTTTCTTGGTATACAGAGAAAATGTCTCCCTGGGCCAGACTGTGCTGCTCCATCCAGCATGCAGTCCCTGCAGGCGTTACTGCCTTCTGTTTCCTGTGACCTTCAGAAGCACAGAGTGCCTGTAGTTGCTTCCCCCTCCTTTTCATATGCACTACTGTCTACACTGCTCTATTCCTTGCTTTTTTTCCTCCAGCTTTATTGAGGTATAATTGACAAATAAAATTGTAATGTATTTAAAGTGTGCAAAGTGATGATTTGATATCCGTATACATTGTGAAGGATCTGCACAATTGTCTACTCCTTGCTTTTTTTTTTTTTTTTTTTTTGTTTTTTTTTTGTTTTTTTTTTGTTTTTTTTTTGCAGTACGCGGGCCTCTCACTGCTGTGGCCTCTCCCGTTGCGGAGCAACAGGCTCCGGACGCGCAGGCTCAGCGGCCATGGCTCACGGGCCCAGCCGCTCTGCGGCATGTGGGATCTTCCTGGACCGGGGCACGAACCCGTGTCCCCTGCATCGGCAGGCAGACTCTCAACCACTGCACCACCAGGGAAGCCCTACTCCTTGCTTTTTTAAAAAATAATTTTTATCTAGTTTCCCTTCTTGAATATGTCTTGACCTGATATGTCTTGAAATCTTTTCCTATCAGTGTAAAAAGAGCTTCCTCATTTTAAAAAACAAAACAGAAAACTGGCCGTGGTTTTAAAATGGAGGAAAGGAAAATTCACTCTTAGCTGATGGAGGGTAAGGGAAAATAGGACCCTTTTTCAGAAACCTTTAAAAGAGGTGAATTCTGAGCATGGGCTTGAAACCGTTTCTCGGGAACCCTGGCCATTTGTGCTTGCCTCGGAGGGAAGAGGGGAGATACATGGTTCTCTTCCCTGTTCTGCAAGTTCCCTTTTTGGGCTGTAGTGGTTTTGCTGGTCTTGAAAGTGTCCACGTACCCCTGGCCCGCTGCCCGGTGGGGCCTGCCTGGGGGAGGCTGCAGGCTGCTCAGGGGTCGTGGGAGAACCATCGGGCTAGGGGGCCCTGCAGCTCGGCCTGCAGGCAGGGGGAACTTACCTTCTGCTCAGGTGCTCCTGGGTGGACGTGGGTGGCACACAGTCTGAGTGCCACCCACCCTTTATGCCAACAGACATTTTACCAAGCTCTGCCGGGCCTTATGGTTTATATAGGCCTCTGCTGGATTTTATTCAGTTCTCCCAGAAGCCCTGTAGCAGGGGTCCTGACTGTCCGCGGGAGGCACCTGGGGGCTCTGCGCAGACAGGCATCAGCCACAGGCCCCGACAGAGTGGCCAGTCCTGTGGCACCAAAGCCTGTGCCTTCTCGGGCATCCCCACCATGTGGAGCACCTCAGATGCTAAAATAGATGAAAGAAGGCCCCTTCAGTGAGAGCAGGGCTGTAAGTCCAGTGTGCAGCATCATCCTGTCCTCCATGATCTGTGTGCTGAGAAGGGCAGGCATGCGCTCTGGACAAGCGTGGGGAACAGGTACTTATTTCCCCTGGAGGGCAGAGTGGAGGCTAGGAAACAACATTTTTCTTTTCATTTCTTTCTTTTCTTTTTTTCAATTGAAGTATAGTTAATTTGCAGTGTTGTGTTAGTTTCAGGTATACAGCAAAGTGATTCAATTACACATATATATTATTTTTCAGATTCTTTCCCATGTAAGTTATTATAAAACAACATTTTTCTTAAGTATTTTTAATTTAGCATTTATTTTTTTAGATGCTTATAAGTATATAAAAAACAGAGATAAATAATCCATTATCCTACCTCTTGGCATTACAAAGAAAGGAAGAGAAAGGGGCGGGGAGCTGGGGGCACTTGGCACTGGAAGAGTACATGGGTAGAAAGTTCAGACAACACAGAGAGGTGTGGGTGCAGCGGGAGCCTCTCCCCCTTCCTCCACCCCTGACTCCTGCCCCACTGTGTTCAGAGGAGGTCATCCTTGACCTGCCTGGAGAGGTGAAGTGGGAATTTCCCAGGAGATGGGGAACAGGGAGGGTCAAGGCAGGGGCCTGGCATAGAGGTGTTGCTGGGCTAGAGGGCGAGCGGGGCATCCTGGAGCAAGGCTGGGGGGCCAGGTGGCCCTGGGGGGCTGGTGGGTGCCCTCGGGTCACAGGGCCCTGAACTCCGGCAGTGGGGCTGATGGGGAGGTGGCACATCTAGGCCTGTTTGAGAAAGGTAAGTGTCATGGTGGCCAGGAGGTCGGGCTGGATGTGGAGCCTGGGGGGGTTGTTGAAAGAGCTCATCATGTGATGGCCTCACATGGGGTCCTGGAGATTATAACAGAGAGGAGAAAGTCTTCTGGTTTCAAATCCCCGCTGCACCACTGTGTGTCCTTGGGCAAATCCCGCACCTCTTGTGCCTCTTGTGTGCTCATCTGTAAGATGGGGAGAATGACAGTGCACCATTCTAGGACCACAGGACTCACCCCTCAGGTGTTCTTCTTGGGTGACTGGGTGGAGGTGATGCCGTTATCAGAGATGGTAAACACAGGAAATGGGAGCAAGTTTCGGGATAAAGATAAGAAATTGGATTTTAAACATGCTGAGTTGAAAGGGCCGGGGGGACACTTGGAAATATTCAGGGACATGGAGAGAAATTCTCTCCTGAGATGTAGAGATGGGTGAATAGATGAGGTCGTTCAAGGAGAGTGTCCAGCAGAAAAGAAAGGGACAGTGATGGGAAGAGCTGAGGCACGTGACGAGCGACAGGACAGAGCAGGTGACGGAGCCTGGGGGAGACGCAGCAGCCCGGGGAGGCGAGACTGGCTGGTGCTTGGCTGCCAGAAGGGAGGAGGCCCCGAGGGTGGGGTTCGAGGTCACTGGGGCCAAGAGGAGTGAGCTGGCAGGAGTCAGGGAGCCGCCCAGAAAGTCCCTCCTGCCTGATCCTAGGGAATGTAGGGGCCCCCTCCGCAGGGACATGATATTTCCACTTTTGTGCTTCGAGAGCTGTTAGTGAACCATTTGGTGTGAGGGGTGAGCACTTCCTTTTAGCCGTGATGAGCAGGGGACCTGACTGGCTCCCACAGTGTACATTTCTTTTCCAGGACACCTTTGTGTCTATTCTCTTGTTATACTCAAATTTTTTTCAGTAAACTGTTTTTAAGAAGGATATTAAAATAATACAGCAGCGGACAATATATACAAGTTCTTAAACACCAATGAAAGGGGCTCTCCCTGTAGTGTTGTCAAGAGGAGTTTGTTCATTAAACCCGCACAAAGGCCCTTTGACTGCCAGCTCTTTCCAGAGGGGACAGCTCTGTGCTCGGGGACTGTCCCCTGACATCCATCTGATACACGGAGGGGCTGTTACATGTCACTCAAATGTGTAAGGCTCTTGGCTGTCGCTTCAGGTCAGCAGGATGGCTCCTTCTTTAAGCAGGGCAGCTTTCGTTCAGGCTTTCATTTGTTCCTCAGTTTAGCAGTAAATGTTGCTGTAGTGCCGTGCTGGGTGTTGTATGAGGAGCGTGGAATAGGGTGAGAGCGTGACCCCAGCTTGCTGGGGATGGTCTGGGTGCCATCACTCACCAGCTGTGTGACCTTGGGCACACGATCCCACCTCTCTGTGCCACAGTTTCCTCACAGCACCCCCACCCCGCCCCCGCCCCCACCCGCCACCATCAGGTGATCAATAAGAATAAACGCAGATGGTAGTGGTCCCCAGTCATAGTCATCATGTCCCAGTGCCAACAGAAACACTCTGGGAACAAACATTTGCTGCGTGCTGAGGACCCAGTCAGAGAGGGGACAGGCTCAGCCCTGCACTGCCCGAGCTCATGTCCAGGCTGGTAAGGAGGAAGGTTTGGGGGGAAGTAGGAGCCAGGCATGGGGCTGGGCCGCCCCCTTCGAGAGTCCCTGGGAAAGGCTTCCCTGTGGAGGAACCAGATGGTGCAAAGGCCTTGAGGTGGCAGGGTGAGAAATGGTGTGGGGACATGGTGGCTGGAGCAGAGAATGAAGGGGATGGTGGTGAGAGGTGAGGTCCGAGAGGAGCAGCCTTCAGGCCATGGCGAAAGCTCCAGATATTTGGAGGGGGTTCTAGAAGTTCTTTTTAAAAACTGTGATTCTTTTTAAAAAAATCTAGACAGGAGTAATTGATCCATTTGCAGACAGATACCCCTGTAGCCACAAAACCCAGCAGGGGAAGAAATTTTATCCCAGCCCCTCTGCCTCTCCCCTGCCCATCTTTCCCTCCAGCCCAAGTTTGTATTTTCATTGCCTCTAAAAGATGTGTTTCACCTCTTCCTCTATAGCTTTGAATTTATTTATGTCCGTTTGTTGCCATTGTTTACTTATGTTTTTTTTCTTTCTGTATTTATTTATTTATTTTGGAGTTTTCATCAGTTTTCTTTGTCTCAATGCCTGGTCTGTCTGATTTGCTCAGAAATGGGATCTGATCTTTTTTAGTACCCACCCCCGTCACTGCCGTGGGACCAACATGGTGCTTTCACGCGGCAGGTGTGCAGCCAGTATTTTTGGGTGATCGCATGTTGAACAGATGAGATGCAAAAGATGACCCGGCAACGTGATCCTCTGTGTGTTCCCCCTCAGCACCCAGATACCCAGGAACGCTGTGGCTGGTGATGGGGCCGAGGGACTTTTGGTGAAGTGGACGGTGTTCTTCCTTCTCTCTTTTGAAGCCCTGGACATGAAGACTTTCGTTAAGGCTGTGAAGAAGATTCTGAGCAATGCGTCCATCGAGATGATAGAGGCGCTGTTTTTGAAGGTGGACATGAACTGTAACGGCCTCACCTCCGCTGCTTCAGGTGGCTGGAGGGTGCAGTCCTTGGCTGGTCAGTGGGGCACGTGGAGGGCTGAAGAGGGGGGTAGACTCTAGGGGGCTTGCTGGATAGAGGGAACACTTGGAGTCTTTGAGGGGGCCCTCCTGAGACCCCTGTGAGCTGGGCTCACTGCAGCTTGTTCCCCTGCCAGGGTACAGGAGGGTATGTGACAAACGCTAGTGACCCCTGCCCGAGACTGGCTGAGCACACAGCAGTGAGCGGCAAGGACCCCTGCCTGCCACGTGGCTCTCCTGCACACCAGCCTCCCATTTGGCTCAGGGGATTCCAGCCGGTGCCACAAACATCTCTTAGCCCTTTATGGTCACTCAGTGGCTGTTAAATCAAAAAATGTCAGGGTTGGGCTTCCCTGGTGGTGCAGTGGCTGAGTCCACCTGCCGATGCAGGGGACACAGGTTTGTGCCCCGGTCCGGGAGGATCCCACGTGCCGCGGAGCGGCTAGGCCCGTGAGCCATGGCTGCTGAGCCTGCGCGTCCGGAGCCTGTGCTCCGCAATGGGAGAGGCCACAACAGTGAGAGGCCTGCGTACCGCAAAAAAAAAAAAAAGTCAGGGTTTTAGAGCATATTAATAATAATGCTTTTTACCCCTGATTTTAAATGTTCTACAGTGCATGTACAGCATTTAAGAATGCAAAAGAACACAGTAAAGTACAAAAAACCAGTCTGATGTATTGATGTAGCAATGCTGACAACGATAACTAGCATTTACACCAGACATTGTGCTAAGCAGTTTATATATTATTATACTTAAACCTCACAGGAATCCTATGGGGTAGGTGCTGGTAATGTACCTCCATTTGACAGATTGGGAAACTGAAGCAAGAGAGGAATAAATTGGGCCAGGGTTACAGAGCTAGTTAGCAGCCGGGCCAATCTTCAGACCCAGGGATTTTGCCTCAAGAGCCCATGTGTTAACAGCTCTGTCATACCTCCCCCTCAGCATAGATGTACATTCTGTTTCTTTTTTTTTTTTTTTTTTTTTTTTTTTTGCGGTACGCAGGCCTCTCACTGTTGTGGCCTCTCCCGTTGTGGAGCACAGGCTCCGGACGCGCAGGCTCAGCAGCCATGGCTCATGGGACCAGCCGCTGCGCGGCATGTGGGATCTTCCCGGACCGGGGCACGAACCCGTGTCCCCTGCATCGGCAGACAGACTCTCAACCACTGCGCCACCAGGGAACCCCTACGTTCTGTCACTTTATGTGTGTTTTTTGTTTTCATTTCTCTTAATACTCTATAATAAATATGTTTCCAGCACTCTGTCATCTACACAGTGATCTTTCTTCATAACTCCCTGTTTTTTTTAAATTAATTAATTAATTTATTTTTGGCTGCTTTGGGTCTTCGTTGCTGCGCGTGGGCTTTCTCTAGTTGTGGTGAGTGGGGGCTACTCTTCCTTGCAGTGCATGGGCCTCTCATTGTGGTGGCTTCTCTTGTTGCGGAGTACGGGCTCTAGGCGCGCAGGCTTCAGTAGTTGTGACATGTGGGCTCAGTAGTTGTAGCTCACGGGCTCTAGAGCGCAGGCTCAGTAGTTGCAGCTCGTGGGCTCTAGAGCTCAGGCTCAGTAGTTGCGGCTCGCAGGCTCTAGAGCGCAGGCTCAGTGGTTGTGGCGCACAGGCTTAGTTGCTCTGCAACGTGTGGGATCTTCCCGGACCAGGGCTCGAACCCGTGTCCCCTGCATTGGCAGGTGGATTCTTAACCACTGTACTACCAGGGAAGTCCCCTGTCTCTTGTCATAGCTTCATATGGTGGCCCATTTCGGCCTTGGCCATATTTTCGTGAGGCTGGTCAGTAGAGTCTAGATTTGCCTTCGTGGCCTGGCTTATGGGTCCTCCCCAGCTATTGACTTCTTGATATATGAGCTGGGGCAACTCATCTATACTTATATGGGCCTTAGTCTTATTATCCATAAAGTGGGGTGAATAAAGAGACTCAGATGCAATGGCAAATGTGGAGCGATGTGAGGATTATCTAGGATTACAGAAACGCGTTGAGGGAGGCGCTGCTGTGCTGTCTTCACAAATGCACGCACAGAGGCCCTTTGCCGATCCAGATCCAAGAACAGCTCTGGTGCTTGGCTTCTTCCCTCGGCCAGAGCCTCTGGGGGCTCCCGGAGCCCCTTGGAAGGGGCTGGGAGAGACGGGCGAGGCACTGGAAGCCGGTGCTCTGCCAGTTTGGCCGACGCCCTCCCTGCTGGCGTTTCTTCCTGAGGCAGCAGGAGTACCTGGACTACGTGATGCATGAGTTCAAGGGGAAGGAGAAGATGATGAGAAGCCAGTGCTACCTGCGCTTCCACCTTCCCATGAGGATCATACCCCTGTAAGGAGCCTCTCCCTGGGCTCCCTGGACTGAAGGTTGTGTCTGGACCAGGCTGGGGCCAGCCCTGCATCGCCCCTTCCTAAGTCCCCGAGCCTGTCTGTGGGGCCACTGTGGGCCTGGCACCACGCCTGCAGCTCTGTATTCTTTAGCTTGTTTCAGCCTCACAACCCCATAGGTGGGCTTGAGCAGCCCCTCATTGTGTCCCCATTTTTCAGACAAGGAAACTGAGGCTCAGAGAGGCCAAGTGACAGTGGTGGGGTTGCTCTGTTGGACCCTCCGTATCCACAGCATAGATGCTGCTCCCACTTTCTGCTCTGGCTGGGGCTGAGCAGGTCTGTGGTTTCATCCACAGGGTACAGATGGCTCACATAGCGGGGACAGGGCTTTCCCTTGAGGTGACAGGAGTGAGGGCCATCACAGGAGACTGCTCAAGCCCGCACCGGGCCTCGGGAGCAGCCCCTGCATCACTCCTGGCGCAAGTGGCTCCTGTCCCTGCCTTGATTTGTGCCTGACCCGCGGGCGCTCTCCTCCATGTGGCTCCTTCTCTCTCTGTGCCCTGGCCCTGTTTGCCCCCACCCCTCCAAACTCCCTAAGAACGAGGAACATTCTAGTGGATCCAGCCCGTGGGCCCAGGCTTCCTGAGCTGGGCTGCTGCAGGCCTCTTGCTCTCCTCCCGGAGTCTGCCTTGGTTGGGGCACCAGATGCCCCGTGCAGGCGGCCGGGGCCTGGGAGCCAGGTCCTGTGGTAACAGGTGTGGTGGCCTCCATTTGTGGCCTGGTTATAACCAGAGGGGCTGTGGGTGAGTTTGTCTCTGGGGACCACACCCAGAGCAGGCCACGGAGAAGACCACAAGGGTGTCTCTGCCCTCAACCAACCTGAAGTTTAATAGAGAAGATGGTGCGATGAAAACCACGGAAGGGTAACTTTGAAAACAATTTGGTCAAGATTTGAGGAATAGCCAATAAATATGAGTGATGACACACTTTGCAACCGTAAATTTCTACATGGAAACTTTGCTGGGTGTCGTCATACCTTTGCTGGTCTATTTCCTGGGACGTTTGATTCCCCAGGGTGATCCCAAGGGCCTGAAACAAGAAGCTTGTCCCTGTTTTCTCCTGTTTATTTGCTCAACCTCCTAACCTGGAGGGCATGTCCAGCTTGGTGGAGAAAATAGCCAAATAATATTTCATCACCATCAGGAAGGGGTAACTTTGAAAACTGGCTCACCTGGACTGAGCCTGGGCCAAGCTCACCCAGCGCACCATCTCCTTGATCCCGTGGAGGTGCTGTCACTGTGGAGATGAGGAAGCTGAGACCTCAGGAGGGGACAGCTTCCTGGGGCACTCTTCACTTCAGAGCTCTCACCTCTTGGGTCTGTTCCCTACAGTCCCTTGGCCCTGACAGAGGAGGCAGAATTGGAAGGGACGGCTAGAGAGGTGACTGAGAAAATTGGTCAGGCTCTGAGCAGAGCCGTGGGCTGAGGGCAAGAGAGAGGGGAGAGCCGTGTCCAGATAACGAGTCCCCGTTTCTCGTGCAGAGTCTGTAACACAGTAGAATTTCCCAGTGACGTGGGTTATCCTTAAGTCACGGCTCAGCTCACATCCATGGCAACGTGTGGAAAGGGCTCTGGCTGGAGTCAGAGTCGAGGTGCCTGGGTTCTAGTCCCAGCTCTGCTGGGAACCAGGACACAACTCCAGGCAGTTAGCCCCTGGCTCCCTGTAGGGTGAGGCAACATCACCTGCCCTGCTGGGGCCCAGAGGTGTGGGCACATCGAGTGGGAGAGAGTGTGCTGTGCTGTGTCTGGCCCTTTAATAGCCAGTTGGCTTAGCCAGCTTGGGGACGGGAAAGAAGCCACTGGAAGGTGGCGTTGAAGTTCGCTGGGAAGGCTGTTCAGTGGCTTCCTGTGAGGCCAGGCATGCCCCAGGAGCTATTAGCTATGCTCAGGGCATGATTTTGGAGATGAAGAGTTGGGTTCACAAGGCCCTGATTTCTCACTGTCCCTTTATCTACTTTTATCTCGTTCTTGGACCCTATTCCCCCCTCCATCTCTAAGCACTAGAGTAGCTGCTGGAAACACTGTTATTTTGCAGTTTTCCTCACAAGCCCCACTCCACTCGCCTCCTGTGGGCTGTTTTTCCTGTGAAAGGACATCTGGCCCATCCCATCATGAGGAAGCTGACTGGCTATTTCATGGGATAAACTTACTGCTCTGGGAGGCCCGTGTCACCCCAGCATCCCATGTGGGTCTCCTTTCCTTCTGGCCACGGTTGTCAGCGGTGACAGTCCCCTTTGGAGGAGGGGCAGAGCCCACGTCTCACAGAAACTCACCCGAGTTTCTCATGGTGCCTGTGAGGGAAGCTGTGTCCTTCCTCCTCTGTGCTCTTTGCTCTGGTTTGGTTTGGGCTCCTCTCTCTTATCACCTTCTGCAGGAATCATGGGTGTGAGATTGTGAAAGTGGAGATCTTAGTCCAGCGGCGCAAGAAGATAGGGCATTTCCTGACTGTCACCAAGGACGGGATCCTGCAGTTCTGGTCGGAGTCCTTCTCGCTGACCAGCTCCTTTAGGGTGAGTGGGGCCCACGTGGGTGGTTGGAAAGTCTCTGCCTTCATGCCCTGGACCCGAGTGGGCTCCTTCTCTGGACCCGTGGGCTAGACAGCCACACTTGCTCCTGGGAGCAGGTCCTGGCTTCCCCATGGGACCATGAGCCTCGCATTTCTTTTCTGAAAGCAGGATTCCACCTGGATGTCCATTGCACTTAGATGTCCAACAGATAACCTAAACCCACTTTGTTCAAATTGAATGTCACTGTAGCCCTCCCTGCCCACCAGGCTTCCTTCTCCTGTGCCTCCAGGTCAGTGAATGGCATCGTCAACCACCAGGGTTCTCGTGTTGGAGATCAACCTCCTTTCCTTTCTCTGTCACACCCATTCCACCACCAAGTCCTGCTGGTTCAAATCCTCTGCTTGGAGCAGGGAGGAAGTCGCAGTGACTGTGAACATGGGCTCCGGAGCCCAACTGCCAGACGTAGAGCTCTGACTGTACCACCCCCCAGCTCTGTGACCTTGGAAGTTACTATATTGCTCTCTGTGCATCAGTTTCCTCATCTGTCAAGTGGGGTTAATAATAGTATCCCCTACAGGCAGGGTTGTTGGGAGGATTTAATGACATAATCCATGCCTGGTGCTGGGAGCAGGGCAAGGCACGCAGCAAGCACCCGATAAACATAAGCTGACATCGTCATTGTCATGGTCGTTTGTGCCGTCAGCTCCTGGCCAAGCGCGGTAAATGATAGAATGCTCGGGAAAACCCCTGTGTACTTGCCTTTGCCAGGCCAGGCCAGAGTCCTCCAGCAGATTAGGAGGGCCCAGCTCTGCAGAGAAGGCTGAGTGAGCATGCTCTGTGTCTGCAGAGTGTTTCCTAATTGCATCAGGGGTCATCCTTTGGGGCAGGAGGATTCTGTATCATCCCCCTGACCCCAGTTGCCAAGGGAGAGAACCAAGGTGTGTGGAGTTCTAGTGACTCTCTTGGGTGCACTTGGTAGCCTAGGATCAAAGGGGATTCTCACCTGTACTCCCGAGGCTGGCGTTTCTGGCACATTCCACCCTCTTTTTCTCTGTGTGCTTATCAGGGGGGCACATCATAGCCTGAGCTCCTGCTTGTGGCTACAACATGGTCACCTCAGCTCTCCTGAGGGCCAAAGCCTGGGAGGGCCAAAGAGGACAGAGGGAGGCTCCCCAAGAAGGCCCACAGACCTGGGCATCCTTCCCTGAGGGGCTGCTTTGGCAAGTAGATGTTGGCAAGAGTGAGCCGCCAAGCACCATCCTCGGGCACTCACTGCATGGCCATGGTTGTGCAGCCGGAAGGCCCTGGAGTCTGGGCTTCGCTTACCAGCTGTGCAGCCTTGGGCAAGTCTCTGAGTCTCCCCAGGGCTCTCAGTTTCTGGTGTGAACGCGGGTCTTGGGGGTGATGAGCATTACCATCACCTCCACTGTGTGTGGGTTAGACCCCAGCCCTGGGCCAGAGGGGGGCCTAGGGGGCCCTGGTGCATTGTTTTCCCTGCCCCAGCCGTTAGCTCAGGCCCCTGCTCTTGGTGCTCTGAGCTCTGATGGGACAGTTCGGAGCCCGCGTGGCGCTACTCAGGGAGTAAAATACAAGTTCCGCCGCTGGCCACACCTCACTCATGGCCCGTCCTCTCCAACCCAGACCTGTCGGGCTGGCCCCCTCTTCCCTGGGCGTGGCAGCTCATTTCTGCTGACTTGCCTTTGCTTGTGGTGTCCCCTGCCTGGAGTGCCGGCTCAGATTCTGTCTGTGTAAGGGTTGTGTGAGGTTGGCACCAGGGTGGGCGGCACCCATGCCGGCCCAGCTCCTCCCAACGCCGGCAGCACATGGATGCTTTAGCTGTCACGGTTCCATTCGTTCCTCACAACCTGGCAGGACGGTTTCTCGTTAATAAGCCACTTGGACCAGGCAACACTGGCAGGTGGTAAACAAGATTTGGACAAAACAAACAAAACGAATACCAGTGTTATACGTCAATTACATCTCAATAAAAATCAGAGAAAAAAGATTCAGGCAGAGAGGGGCAGGTCGTGGAAAAGTCGGTCTTCCTCTCTCAGACCCTAATTCCTCTCTGGAGGCAACTGCTGTGGCCACTTTGGGGGTGCTTTTCCGTGGACAGCCTGTACATACACCGACCCCTTCTCTTTAAATACACAGATGGTAGCACGTTATAATGCTGCTCTTCACCTTGCTTTTTCACTAGTAACAGGTCTAGGCAACTATTCTGCATTGTATGTACACAGCTCCCGCGTTCTTCGAGTCCGGGCCGTGATCGGTGGTGTGGGTTTGTAAGGCGTCATTTCCAGGCAGACTCTGGCCTGTTGCTGTTGTAACTGGGCAGCAGTGCCCGTTCCTGCTTACACTTCTCTGTGAGTACCTGCAAACACATCTGTAGATGCCTCTTGGAATGGATCCTGGGATCACAAACTATGCACATTTAAAACTTGATGAGCTTGTCAAACTCCCTAAAGGGTTGTGAGGATGAGTGTTCTTTAAGCTCATTTTACAGATACGGAAACTGAGACTCAGAGAGGTCAGGGAGTTTAGCCAAGACCCCACCGTTGGTAGTTGGTGGTAAGGCTGGGCTCCACACCAGGTCTGTGCTTGGCTCCAGGGCCTTGGGTGGCAGGAGAGGGTTTGCGGGGAGGCTGTGCTCCTGGCGTGCTCTCCCGGGGAGCCTCCGCAGCCCAGGTCTCTTCTGCTCTCCCTCTGGCAGCTTTACCAGATCCATCCGCTCCACAACCAGCAGATGCGGGTCATCGACATGGTGTGTCTGCACAACATGAACCTGGTTGCGATAGTGTCGACCGACCAGAAGATAGGTGAGGCCCCGAGGTTCCCCAGGCCGGTGCCTGGCCACTGGAAGCCATGCATTTGCACTTGGAGAGCCCTGTCACCCAGCCAACTGTGAGCATGAGTTAGAGTCCCCTGGGAGTATTGCTGGGTGGTGAGTAGTGAGGCTTCTCACTGTCACCAGAGACTCCTGAGGCCTGGGACATGGGTTTGGGTTCATGTGTGCCTCCCCTTCTGTCTCTTCCCCAGAGTTCTTTGATATCAGTAACCGTAAATGTGTCTGGGCCTTCACCTTCATCGATCTGGACAGTTGCGTCCTGACCTTGAACTACTGGTGAGTCTCGTGGGAGACCGGGGCAGGGGCTTGGCAGCAGTGGGGCTGGGACCCCCAGAAAGCCTCTCTGGAAGCAGCACTGGAAAGATCCCCACCCTCTGTGCCTGTGTCCTCTTCCCCTCAAGCTGCTCCTCTCTTGGGTCCCCTTTCATGGTCACTCAGACCTCAGAGTTGTTGTCGGCCCCTCTTCCTTTCACCAAGTCAGCCATCAAACCCAGCCTGTCCCGCTGTGTCTCTGGGAACATCATGGTCCATCAGTAGGGTGACTTGACAAAGAGCAGCTGAAGGACCAGGGATTCATTTATTCTGGTTAAGAAAAAGTGCTGATTTCTCTTGGACCTGGTTCACCAACGCTCTGGATCTGGGCGGCTGGGCCCACGTTTGTCAGCTGTTGAGGTCAAGGCTGGAAAGTTGTGTGGGATCTGCCCTCGCTCCCAAGGTGGAGAAGGGCCTTGGAGGCCGGCGAGGGGCGGAGGGTTGCACTGGACACACCCAGCCGGCTCCGTGGCCTCTTCTGTCTCCTTCTTTTCCCAGGTCTGACTATCACAGGGCTGTGTTCTGCTATGGGGACACCAAAGGCAATGTCATCGTCTTCACCTCCAACGATGTGACCCATGGGCTGTTCAACCCCTGAATCCTCCCCAGGACCTCCAGATGGGGTAGCGGAGATGTGGGGAGTGGGGGGAGATGGTCCTGCCCTGGGAGCTCCTTCCCCTCCCTGCTTCCCAGTTCGAGAGTCCCTGGGAAGGCGGTGCACCCACATGCTCAGCTCAGAGCCGCCTGTGGGAGATGGGGTGATGGCGTGACAGCGGGACACGGGACGGGGCTGGGGAGATGGGCAATCTCTCTGGAGGTGGGAAGTAGTGCACATGAGGGCCGGGGCGGAGGTGGGGGCGCTTCAGGACCCTCCTCATACCAGGAAGAAAGAACCTGTGGCAGCTATGTGACCCGCTCTGGGCCCTGGGGAGGTGGCGCTAGCTTCCTCCATGGCGTGAGGAGGGTTCTGCTCTCCTTGGCTGGGAGCTGCCTGTGGGTGGGTGTTGGGGTGGGGCGGAGAGGCTGCCCAGGAGGCTGCGCTTCCTCGCAGCGCCTGGAGGAAGGCCCGACTCCGCACGAGCAGCGTGAATCAGCACAGGGACACTTGCGGAGCCCTTGGGTGCTGAGCGCTTTGGGCAGTCACCTCCTGCAGTTCCCGCCTGCTGCCAGGAGGGGCTGCTGTCGTCACAGCCTGTTAAGGGAGGAGGAGCCGGGGGTTTAGGGGGAGACGCGCTTACACTGGCCCCACAGTGGCTAAGCGTGGCTGAGATCTGAGACAGGCAGTCTGCGCCAGAGCCTGCACTTGAACCACTTGCTAGGCTGTATCCCAAACCGACTGAATGCTGGAGGATGCTGTCTGGGGCTGCTCTGCCTAGGGGCACGAGATCCCGAGGCCTCGGGGCCTGGGGCTGTCGGGGACATATCTGAACTGGACCCTGCCTGGGATCGAGCCTTCGACCCGCAGTGTCAGGCCTCCAGGCCGCACCGTGTCCATCTGGAGGGGGCCCCAGCCCCCAGGGACACTGACTCCTCTCCATCCAGGACTCCAGAATGGCCACTTGGGCTTCTAGCCAGAGTTTCTGAGCAGGGGCTCCAGGGGTCCCCAGGCCTCAGTGACACCTCCTGCCCAGCTTGTTGGGGCAGCATCCGCCACTGGCCGGACAGAAGGTGGATCCTGCCCTGGACGCAGCAGGGGGCTGGCACCCTGCTGTGTCCTGTCTCGTCTGCCTCTGCCCCTGGTGCCCGACCTGCCCTGACCCAACCCACCGTGGTCGCTCTGTGCCACCCTGGGAATTGGCACAGGAGTTGGTGGTCTTTGAGCTGAGTGGTGGACAGGAAATTGGAGGGGAGGCAGATGAGGCTAGAGTGTTGGATGGGAGTCCTTCCATGCCACATGCTGACTGAAGGCTGGGGACAAACAGGAAGGGGGGCCCAGCAGCATGCTGACTTGGGAGGGGCTGGACAGACCAGCTCTGTATGACCTAGATCCAGTTGCTTAACCTCTCTGTGCCTCAGTTCCCTTATTCAAATGGGGTAAGCACAGTCAGTTCATGGATTTGTTAGAAGGTGGAAGGAGAGAGAAGTGGGAGGGCAGGGCTGTGCTTGCTGCGCAGACACGCTCACTTTACGACGCATGTGTGCAACTTCTCCTTCTTGGAACTTGCATTTGCCAGACAAGGGGGGGCGTGTATTCAGTAGTTTGAAGCATGATGGCAAACTCCCAAATGATTATTTTCAGAATGAATAAGAGCCCAGGATCTCAGTTCATTCTCCACTCCAGCAGAGTCAGAGCTCCCTAATGGAGACTCAACCAGCTGGGGAGAGTGAGGAGCCCCGAAATCTGGTTCCAGCTCTGCTAGGAGCTGGCAGGGGGACTCTGGGCAGCAGTGTTTATTGGCCCCGGTCTGTTTTCTGGGTGCCGACTTCACCCCACTGAACTTACCAGGACACAGGGAGGCTTGAGTGAACGTTTGGATGGGAAAGCCTTTTGGGGTGCATGGGAGTTGCAAACCAACTCAAGGGTTCTTCTGAGGTCTTGCTTATTCTACAAACAAGGAGAGCTGGTGACGTGGGCCTTGATTTTCTCCCCTATCAGATCACTGGACCGATGTTTCCACACGGAAGCTCTTAAATGAGAAGTCCCCTATGTATAGAAGTTACCGGCTGAGGGTAAGTGGGATCTTTCCTTGGCTGTAACCATGGTAATTAGCTGTACACAGGTAAAAAAACAAAAATGCAGCAGGTGGATCTGCCCTTCAGTCTCTGCCCTTGGGGCTTGGTCTCTGGGGATGGGGTGGAGGCAGCTGCTGGATCCCGTCCGCTCTTTGTGCAGAAGCCAAACCATCCCAGGTGTGACTGGTCTCTCTCACCGCCTTCATTGCTCAGGCACCAGCCCTCCTGGGTGGCTGCAGCGGCTTCTCGCCGTTTCCCCACGTCCTTTCTCTATGCAGTGCTTTCTCCATTCAGCAGCCTCAGGAATCCTGAGCTAGAAATACAGTCATGTCACTCCTCTGCTCAAAATCCCCCAGTAGCTCTCTTGTCTTGCACAGAATCTCAAGTGCTCCCCACGACCATCAGGACACGAGCGGACCTGGCCCCTGGCTTGTTCCCAGTCTCGCTTTCTACCTTTCTCCTCCTTTCTCTAACACAGAGACGCCAGCAACCTGGCTGTTCTCTGAACACGAAGCCCTTTCCCACCTCAGGGCCTTGACACACGCCGTTCCTTCAGGCTGCTGTGCTCTCCCCCCACATACTGTACGCCCCCCTCTACTTCCCTTGGGTCCCCAACCAGCCAGCCTGGAACAGCCCTGCTCCATCAGCCTCTGCCTTCACCCCTTCACCTGCAGTGCTTATAGGATTCTGACACCCATTACAGCGTGTGTTTTTTTCCCACATCTCCACGCGATTCTCTGACACGAGCTGGGTGTCCTACAATTCAACTCAATTCTGACACTGTCTACCCCAAGATAGCGTCAGATCCCGCAGTTTAAGGGTCCCACAAGACTGCCCTCCCCTTCAGATGCCAGTCCCAAGTTCAGGTTGTTACCTGTGCTTCTGACCCACTGGCATTAATCAGAGGTTTCCACGACCCCCTCCTTGGGTTCGATTAATTTGCTAGAACAGCTCAGAACTCAGAGAAACGTTTTACTTTACTAGATCACTGGTTTATTAGAAAAGAATATAACTTAGGAACAGTCAGATGGAAGAGATGAGGATGGCAAGGTATGTGGAAGGGGCACGGAGCTTCCATGCCCTGTCCGGGTCTCCACTCTCCCTGCACCTCCACATATTGTCCAGCCCAGAAGCTCTCAGAACCCCACCTTTTGGGTTGTTATGGAGGCTTCATTACACAGGCATGATTGATTATGTCATTGGCCATTGGTGATCAAATCATCCTCCAGCCTTCACCACAACAGACACTTGGTGAAACAACTCATGCAAAACCCAGCTCACCTCGCCTCCATTCTTGTCTTGGAGAGGAAAATCTCCAGATTGGGAGGCCAAGCACTGGGCCAGAACACAGAACCTGTCCAGCCAGGCCATGCACTTGACCTGTGGGTCCCAGACTTTATTTTTTTTTTCGCTATACCACGCGGCTTGCGGGATCTTAGTTCCCTGACCAGGGATCGAACCCGGGCCCTGGCAGTGGGAGCGCGGAGTCTTAACCACTGGACCGCCAGGGAAGTCCCAGTCTCGGGGAAGTCCCAATCTCGCCCAACTTGTACCAGATAACATCCTCGCTCACTGCAAACCACTTCCCGACAAACACGGACAGCGGTGGGGCCGGGAAGCGCAGGCTCACCCATGGTGGGCGCCCCGTGGATGACAGCGACTGTGGACTAGGCGGACTTGGATCCATCCTCCCTCCCCCTTGGCATGGGGCCACAGACAGTGGTATTAGGATGGGCCAGACCTTGCCTGTCCTCTAACTTATAAGCGAGAGTTCACCTAACAGCAGATTTCAGTGCTTGTAACCTGTTCCACTGATAAATGGTGGCCACACACCCCTGATCACATGACCTGGGCTAGGACTGTGGGGCTGGAGCACTTTGTCAGAGCTGTGATAACTAGAGGGGCATAGACTTGGGGATCTCTTGGCCCCTCCAGCCCATCTGGTGGCTGGGCCCGGATGACCGTCCTTGGGTTGGGTCTCCCACCACCACTGCTGTCTTCCCAGGCTCTCCACCCCAACTGGTGTCAACAGGTCAAGTTTATCCCCCAGCGGAACCTGGTGGCTTCCTGTTCAGCCATCGAGGAGTCCTCTCTGGTGCTGACCATATTGCCGCCCGAAGTCCCAGAGAGCCTCAAGTAAGGAGCACCTGTCTCCAGGCAGAGGTGGTGGGGCTGGGAGGGGGTGGGTGGTGACAGTGACTCCGGGACTCTGGCTTCACTTCAGCCGCAGGTGGCCATCCCTCCTGAGAGGGGACCTGCCTCCGGGACAGTGGCATCTCCTGTGGGCAGTAATACCGTGTCCTGTGGATCATGCTGGGTCCAAGGAAGCACTGTGTGTCCTGTGGGCCAACAGTGAGGTGTGGTGGTTAGAACATGGGCTCTGGAGTCTGTTTTTTTTTAAATTGAGGTTGTCAGTTTTGAAAATTGACATATAACATTATATTAAGCTTATATTAAGACGCATAACATAACGATTTGAAATTGTGAAATGATCACAAGTCTAGTTAACATCTATCACCACACACAGTTGTGCATTTTTTTCCCTGTGATAAGAACTTTTATGGAATCTGGTTTTAATCATTCTGGCATTGCCACCAGCAGCAAAAATATGAGGCCTCTGTTATCCACCAATTTATACACAAAACTCAGCACAGAAGCTAGCACATGGTGTAAGGATACAGTCAGAAAAATGTTTTCTGAATGAAGGAATGAATGTGAGTTGCTTCACCTCTGTGAGCCTCAGTTTTCTTGTCTGTAAAAGGGGGTGATAATAGCCCTTCACTTACCTCAGGGCTTACATGAGTGAGTGTTGTACATAGCGTGTGTTCACTAGTTGGCCACATTAATTCTTTGGAGATGGTTCTAATCTATTTCCTTCATTCTAGATTCCTCTACCCCAGGGGGCATCTTTTCATCTTCTGTCTTTTTTATTTTTTAAAATCAGCTGTTGGGAATTCCCTGGTGGTTCAGTGGTTAGGACTCTGCACTTTCACTGCTGGGCTCGAGGGTTCAATCCCTGGTCAGGGAACTAAGACCACGCATGATGAGCAGTGCGGCCAAAAAAAAAAAAAAAAATACTCAACTGTTAGTCACACAGGTATATGTACATATGTAAAAAATTCAAGCACTAAAAATAAAGCCGGAATCCTGTGGGCTTTTCTCCCCGTTCCCTTATCCAATCCCCAAGTCCTGGAACTAACTGCAGGTTGGAGGAGGGGTGTGTATGCCTGTGGCAGTGGGGAATCTTCTGTCTTGGTTTTTGTGGTTTGAGTGGGGCGGTGTGGTGGGATTTTGCTTGGAGCTGGTTTGCCGAGGTCCATCTCTCTGCTTTGGTGGGAGTATTACCTCATGTCTGTGATATGTCTTTCAGCTTCTTGTTTTATTGGGTCTCAAGGGCAGGAGGCTATGACAGGCTCCTTGGTCTGCCTGCCACCTTCCCACTCCAGCCACACGGGGCCCCCTTGTGGCTCACACATGTTCCTGCCCCCAAGCCTTTGCATTGCTCCTCTCTGCCTGTTTTTTTGTTTGTTTTTGTTTTTTAAACATTTTTATTATGAAAGATTTTTAAACACACAAAAGTAGAGAAATAGTATAATGCTTTAATATCACTAGTACTAGTCCAAGTTAATCTTTACCCAAGTGTCTCAAAAATATCTTTTTATGATTATTTGAAATCAGATATAGACAAGGTTCTAGGATGGTTCTGAGCTGAGGAATGGTGTGCTCTGGCGTGTGGGAGCATCCTTCTGGCTGCTCTATTGCAAGTGGAATGTACGTATGTGGGCAGGAGGGGAGATGGGGACACCAGTGAGGATGCCATTGTAATAATCCAGACTACATGTGATGGTGGTCTGGAGTCTGCCTGGCGTGGAGACGGAGAGATTTGAGATATATTTTAGGGGTGGGTTGCAGAATATAGTTATACACATGAGCACACACCCCGTTCCTTCTTGTCTGTATGAAGTACACACACTGGCCAGCAGGTGGCACCATTGACTGCTGGCTGGTCTCTTGTTCTGGTGATGTTCTCTTGGGGCGTAGCCTCTGCAGGTGGGGCCTGGCACTGCCAACCCAAATTCTGCCTCTGGAGTGGCCTTGTAGACTTCTTCCCTTCGTCCCCTCTGACCTTCCAGTCCCTTCTCTGCACAGCAGCCATCTGTGCAGAGACCTGGTCTCCTCCAGCCAGCCGTCATGTCAAAGCCACCTGCTTATTTCCCTGCAGGACTTGCCATGATGTGTACATGTCCGTCTCCCTGTCCCTGTGTTCCTTTACTTGCACAGGCTGTTTTCCTCTAGAAGAAAAGCTCCAGTGAAGGCAAGGGCATCCTGTCTGCACCTCTGGTCATCCTGGAAGGGCATAGGAGCCAGGAAATCTTTGTTGAATAAATGGGTGAATCAGGCTGAAATGATTTCTAGTAACGTTTTGTGACTGTTCTTCCAGAACATTTCTCTGCACACATAAGCATGGAGGGAGACTTATCTGGTTTGACAATACAGGTATTTGGTATGCTCTTCTTGAAGTTTTCTAATGTCCTTTTTTCTTTTGGCCACACGGCGCGTCATTCAGGATCTTAGTTCCCTGACCAGGGTTTTTTGGTGAAGTTTTGACTTTTAGAGGAATCCTTCTGGCTGTGGAGTGGGGAGCTCAGGGGAGTGGGAGCAAGGGGGGAGGTCAAGAGGCCCTCCTGGGAGGCTGATGCAGAAACGAGGGGGCCCTGGGCTGTGGTGGGATGTGAACAAAGAGGATTTGGGGCCCAGGTGAATAATGAGAGCGCAGGAGAGGGAGCCTCTAGGGTGATAACCAAGCTTAGTTCCCTGGGGAGTAGCAGAGGTGCAGTTCAGGGGCGAGTTCAGTGGAGAGCATGCTGCGTTAGAGGCCTTGGAGTTGAGTTTTGAAGGGAGAGTTTGAGTGGAAAGAGCTGGCGGGGCAGGATGTGTGGATGTGAGGGAATAGCACACGCAAGGCACAGAGCTCCCAGGGCTCTGGGGCCTGTGAGGGCTGTTGGGCCTGACCTTTCCCCTGATCTTCCCAGAAGCCCTGCCTGGGTCCCCTGGCCCTCCTGAGCACCCCGACGGCCTCCTGGCTCCCCATCGCCCATCCCCCGGGCCTCCAGCCCTGCCACACCGTTTCCTGTCCTGGAGCTCTGGTTCCTGAGCCTACTGCCTCTCCCTGCCACGCCCACCCTGGGTCTGAACACTGACCCCCCCCCACCTTGCCAGCCATGGGACCTTGGGCAAGCTCCTTTATTTCCTTCTGTGTCCTCATCACGGCACAGGGCTCATGACAGTCTTCAGGGTTGTGTGAGGGGTCCAGCCTGGCTGGAGTCCGAGGCCTGGACCCAGGACAAGGTCCCAGCGCAGGCCCCCAGTGGCTGATACCCGGTTTTCAACTTCAGTGACTGGTGGCCATGACCCCCTCATCTGCCTGTGGAACCCCTTCTTCTCGAAGAAGCCTGTGTGGCTGATGAAGGGGCATGAGACCTCGGTGACACACATTCTCGTGAACAGCAAGCACAGCAGCATCCTCCTCAGCATCTCCAAGGACAAGGTGTCCTCAGGGAGCTCGGCCCTGACGCCCGCCACTAGCTCCTGTTCCCCAGCAGAGATGCTGGCCCAGGGAGAACGATCGAGCTCAGCCAGCCAGGGAGCTGGCTGCAGTTGGCAGGAGCCTGAGGCCCAGGGCAATGGTGTGACCTCCCTGTCCATGGTCCCACCCTGGCCTGAGGCCTAGAGGCAGGTACCCCAGGTGGCACCATGAAGGGGCCGTGGGTCTCTGACCACCCCCATAGGGTCCTGAGCCCAGCTCTGAGCAGCCCACCAGAGTTGGGCAGGGCCCTTCCCTTTATGGGGTCTCAGTCTCCTCATCCAGAGAATGGGTGTTGAGTGGTTTAGAGAAGAGCTGCTGGTGAAAGAGCAGAGGAATGTCTGGCGCATAGTAGGTGTACAACAGATGTGAGCCTTTCCCTCCCCACAGACCCGAACTTGCTCCTCTCGGCTCTCCCAGTGACCACGGCTTGGCTGCCCTGGCTACAGGGCCTGACTAGACCTTTTTCAAATGCCCGGGGTTCCCCTGATCAGGCCCGCTCCTCTGCTTCTCTGAGCTGTGGGTTTAGGGTCTCTCCCCACCTGCTGGGGGATGCAGGCCAATGGTTCCAGGTGCCCTCCTTCAGGGGACAAGTCTGTGTCTTCTAGGACTCAGTAGATCAGGAGCTGGCAGGGCCCTGGTTCACCAGGCCACGCTGCCCACACATCCCCACACTTGGTACTGTCTGGAATTCTCCTGGCAGCGCTGGGAGCTGGGCATCGGCACCTCTGATGAAGGCTCCGAGGCTGGAGGGGTCGGGGACAGAAGTAGACTTGCCCAAACCTTCATGGGCAGCGATGGGCAGAGCCACGGTGTGGACGGCAGTCTGTGGACTCCACGCCCATGCCGTGTCCAGCTTGCTGCTGGCGCCCCGAGTGAGGAGTGTCCTGGAGGGACTTCCACGGGGCCCCTCTGGGGACACTTCCTCAACCTGGGAGGAAGTCGAGGGGGACAGGTGAGCCTTTTGGGCAATGATGTTGGCAGCTCTTTCTGTGCCCTGCCTGGCTTTACTCGAGGGAGGCTGGGGTGGGAGCTAGTGAGGGTCTGCAGGGGCAAGTGCTGCCTGTGAGGTCTTCATCCTCAGCCAATGAGCAGCAGCTACTCGAGCAGGGTAGAGACCCTGGGGGAGGCTGGGCGGGGGGCGTGCCTCGGTTTCCTCATTTGAGCATAAGCACAGCGTCTGTCTTAGGGCTGTGATCCATGGCAGTCACTTAGCGTGGTGGGTGTGTCTTGGAAGTGCTTGCACTGGGTGCCCTGGCCCCGCTCCCAGGAGAACCCCAAGGCCTCAGGTGCCAGCTGCATCCCCGAGAACCCACTCTTGGCCTCTTTGCCTGTTTCTCACCCCCGCAGAATATTCGCGTGTGGGACATGCAGGACTACGAATGCCTCCAGTCCTTCTGCGGGAAGCATTTTGCCCTGGGACACTGCCCCATCACCAGCGCATACTTCCACAAGGATGACGACAGCCTCATCTGTAGCACCTACTCAGCGCTGCACGAGAGGGAGGTGGGACCGTGTCTGCACCCAGAGGGGAGGGGCTGCAGCTGTGTTCTGCAGTCCCATGGGACACCGAGGGGTGGTCACATCCCGTCCGTCCTGAGACTGCTTCGTGCCATGAGGACAAAGCTGCTAGACTCTGTGGGCTGGTCCTCAAAGCTCTCGTCTCCTGGGATTTCCTGGGGGACTGTTGCTAGGCCCTCAGTGGTCACCCTCTATGCTGCTGTCCTCCTGACCCGTGCATCCTCCGGACTCTCCTCAAAGCCCACCTTGAGGCCCGGGCTGGCTTAGAAGACCCCGCCCGCCCCCACCGCTCCATGCTCCCTTGCCTCCCCTTGATCACGGCCCTTATAACTCTGTCCTGTCGTGGTTACATGCCTGTCCCTCCTGCCAAATTGTGAAGCCCAGGAGGGCAGGGCCCACCCCCGAGCAGCCCCTCTGAAGGAGAGAGCCTGGAGGGACCTGCTGTGAACACTGTCTATGAGCCATGACTTAGCTGGTGCCCATGTGAGGTCTGTCCTGACTCTGGAGGACAGGACAGCCTGGGAGAAGCACAAGGGGCTGACCGTCCAGGGTGACAGGGGGACCTGTGACAAGATGGGAGCTGAGGGGACTGCAAGGACAATCAGCAGCCAGTAGAGGGGGAGGTTCTATCTAGAAAGGGCGGTGAGGGTGTCATTTGTGGTTGGGAGGAAGGGGAAGCCCCACTGAGACCTCCTTCCCTCTGTTGGCCGGTGACACACACGCTGTCCTTGTGCCCTTGGCTGGCTCTCCCAGGTGGCAGGTTTTTCTTGAGAAGGGAGTTGGTGGGTTCCTTCGTCTCTGCTGAGTGTCAGACTGGCTGCCAGCATTTGTTGAATTAAATAGACCTTTGAAGTTCATTTCAAATCATCACACATTATCAGCCCTCTGCTCTTTGTCAGGAGCAGAGAATATATTAATTAGGCACTGTCCCATCCCTCAAGGAACTTATGGGGTAGTAGGAGAACACATAACTTTAGTAGAAAATGCTGTGTGTTATGATGGAGATGTGTGCTAGGTGCTTCATCGAGCACAGAGAAAGGATCCTTAGCCTAGCCTGAGGCAGAGGTAGTCAGGGAAGGCTTCCTGGATGAGGGGACACCAGATTGAGGCTTTATGCTTTTCAGAAGTTATAAAAGGGACCTTGGACTTGGATTTTGATCTTGTGGGAACACGAGGCTTTGGGAGCCCTGATCTCAGGAAGTGGGGGCCATGGAGTAGGGGTGAGCTATCAGCAAGCCTGTGTGTAGTTGAGGATATCTTGATGTCTCAGGTTACTGGAAGTTTCTCCCTGGGGCAAATCACTGAGGGCAGGCCCCTTCTGACTGCCCAACTGTCTGCCCCTCCTCACCTGTAGATTGGCATCCTAAAAGGGTACCTGGAGACGCAGGGGCCTGGGAGAGCAGAGGAGAAGACCACGACTTACAGCACGCCCCTGTGCGCCATCCTCTACAGCAAGGTTTTCAAGCAGGTAAGTGGTCAGCAGCTCGTCTCTGAGGCCAGCAGGGGGTGGGGTGGGACGGGACGCTCATAGCTTGGGTGGTGGTGCAGGACAGTGGGAGGTGGGCGAGCAGCAACCCTGCAGAGGGGTCACCCCGGGTAAGATAGGAGCTCCACCACGTGGTCAGCGGGTCACCAAACTCCTGTGAGCCTGTGCGCCCCTGGCTACCGCCCCAGGTCAGTTCTGGACAGGCAGCCTTCTTTATACAGTGTGAGATGGAACACAAGGTGTGAGCTGCTCTTCGAGGCTCCCTGGGTGGGTGTGGGTGCTGCTCCTGGGGGCCATTTCCAGGGAAGCCCTGGTTCAGCACTGTCCATCGTGGGAGGGGAGGGAGGCCCAGGCTGTGGACAGCCCCCTGGTCCTGAGTAGAGATCTCTGCATTGGGCAGGGCAACTGGGAACATGGAGTCTGAAGTGTGGGGATAGATAGGGCGCCTGGGCCCTCTGCGCACTGCCACTGGGACCCCTTTCCTGGCCCCACTGCGTCTGCTGCAGCATGGCCTTGGCTGCGCGAGGCCAGAGCTCACCTCTTTGGGTTTCCCTCTCATTCGGACCCCTGGCACCAGCACCCCTTATACCTTAGGGCTCTTCAGTGCCTTCCAGCAGTTTCAAAAAATTCCCCTTCCCCAGCTTTCTAGATGTTCTCATCAGGAAGGTTGGTCTGAAGTAGGCTCACCTGTTACTGTTTCATTGTAATAGTTGTCGCCTTAGGTGGAATGATGTACCTTTACTCAACATTTCCCTACTTAGGGGACAGTTAGTGTATTTCCTGTTGTTTTTTTCTATCCCCCGTGATTAATGACTTTGCAGTAAATTTTTTTTCTGAATTAGAGATTATTTTCTCTGGATAGATTCTGATAAATGCCATTTCTGAGTTGAAGGGGATTTCACCAGACTGGTTCCTTCTGAAAAAACTGTGCCTGTTTGCACCGCTGTGGGCCTCAGGGCCGAGGAAAGCCTGTTTTCAAGAGTGGCTTATCCCGCAGCAGGAGGGCCCAGAGCGCCTGTCTTCTCGGTACACAGAGTGGCAGCGGAGCTACCCGCAGTCACGCCAGCTGGAGGCTGCCCTTGGGAGCGGGGGCCCTCTCCTCTCCAGGAGCCCTGGCTGTGTGCACCCCCACAGGTGGTGAGCGGCTGCCTGAGCGGCGTGGTGAGCGTGTGGGAGGTCGTGACGGGCAAAAGGATGACAGAGTTCTCCGTGACGCGACCAGCACGTGGAACTGACCGCCACGCCCCTGGATGAGTGAGAGGCCTGCCTGCTCACGGGTCTGCGTGATGGCGCCACGAAGATGTGGAACTCCAGCGTTGGTGAGTGCCTGCTGACCTTCCCCAGCCCGGACCAGATGGAGGTCAGTCTGGTCCATCAGCTGGGGCCTGGGGGCCCCTCACAGCTCCTGTGACCCTGGGACATGCTATTGTCCGTGCCTCTCTGAAAGGTTGTGCACACAGACTGCCTGGCCTCGTGCCTGCCTGACCCTTTGTGTCCTTACGCAAAAAATGAAGACAGGTAACAGGGCCTGTCCTTCATAGGTGTTCTACAAATGTTAGCTACTCTTGCTCTTTTGGTGTGTTAGCACTTCTTACCCTACCTCTTAGAGCTTTGGATGGCATTGCTAGCAGTGGGGTCACATGATTCAGAGCCACCCGTACCCCTGTTTGGGAAATGACTGCCAGGGTTATAGGGATGGTCTGTGGGTGTGGCAAAGTGCAAAGCAGCAGTCCCACTTTGGGACTTGAGCCCGTTAGTAACCCCTGTGACACAGTCCTTTAACCAACCCAGAAGGAGCACTTGGCCGAGAAGCCGGGGATTTAGAGGACTGGCCCAGATCCTATCACTCAGTCGTTTGACCTTAGCCAAGTCACTTGTCTGTTTCCCTGCTATCCCCCTGTAAGAGGGACATGGATACCTACCCAATCTGCCCACTCCAAGTCCATCAAATGGATAATGGGATGTGAGAGCACTCTGAAAAAAATATGGTGGTATCACATCTAGGGAATTCTCATCATTATGGGGAGTTTTGATTTCTTGCTTGGTATAATTAGGAAGACATTTGGGGCCTGGAGCCATTTCCTCTGAGGTACCTTAGAGTTCTGTCTTCTTTCAACTTCAACAGATTAGTGGGATCGTCCGTATGAACAAAGTGTTCTACATGACCGGATGGAGTAAGAGAATCACTTATTTCACTTGAGTAGCCAGGGTGCACATGGGAGGTGAGGGCAGCTAACTGTTCTCTCCTGACTTCAGATGGGTTCCTCCATTCCTAGCTTTGCTGGTGGTTGGAACACCAAGCAGGAAATTAGTGCTGGGTGATGTCTGTTGCTTCACCCTCTCATCTGTCCATTTATTCATCACTCCATGCAGCCGATATGTTCTAGGCTTTGTACTAGGTGCTGGGGACGGGTATAAACAAGCATATGGAGTCTTCATCCTCCTGGAGCTCCCAGGGGGAGGCAGACACTAATCAAATAACTTCATTTGTGATAGTCTGTTGAGTGCTATGGAAAAAAGAAAAAGTACAGGTTTCTATGGGGAGGGGACAGAAATCTGATCTAGTCTCAGGGGCCATCAGAAAAGGGTCAGCTGAGGATGTTGGGTGGAGTGGGATCTGAAGAGTGAGCAGGAGGGGTCTCAGTGAAGCAGTGAGGGGCTAGGGACAGGAGGGACGTTCCAGGCAGAGGGAACAGCATGTGCAGGGTCACTTCCTCTTCAGAGGGCTTTTCTAGGCCCATGGTTTCCCCTTCTTTCAACCTGAATCCTTACTCAGGTGTCTGAATGGGGCACATCTGTAAGATTAGTGTATATAAAGCCCCTAGGACCGGACCTTTAGAGCAGGCACATAATAGGTGCTTAGTAAATGCAGTCGCAGGGCAGAGCTTCATCCCTGATCTACACCTCCTCTGGAGTGTCCTCCTCTGGGTCAGCGCTCCAAAGCCTAGAGGCCATGATGGTTTCCCAGGAGACCAGTAAGGCTGAGCTCTCAGCCCTTCTGCCTCTGGCCATGTGTGCAGGTTCCACAAGACCAAGCCAGCGCTCTTGTGCTACCACTGGCAGACCTTCCACACGGAGGATGTCCTGAGCATGGCCAGGTACCAGAACCAGTTCCTTGGAACCTCCTCCTACAATGGGGACATCCTCTTCTGGAACATCAGCATGTTCGGGCCCATCCTCCATTTCAACGCCTCTCAGAGCCCCTTGCCCTCGCTGCCCAAGAGGGTAAGGTCAACAGAAACAAGCTGTCCTCTTCCTTCTCTCTCAGCTGTGGGCCAGAACCACGTAGGGCTTGGGGGTGGGTAGGGGACACCCTGGGGAGTGGAGGGAATGGTGGTGGCTTGTTCTGGAGGAGGTTGGGAGCTAGGGACGTAGGTGGTAGTTTTTATAATTATCCTCATTTGACAGATGAGGAAACTGAGGCACAGAGAGGTTAAGCATCTCGCCTAAGGTCACACAGCCAAGAAGTAATAGATCCAAATCCAGGCAGTCTGACTCCAGAGCCTGGTGGTGCTAGTCCTGTTCTCCCGAGATTACTGTCCCCTTGCAGGTGGCTCACTTCTGACCCATCACTACTACAGCTTACTGCTCCGGTCTCACTGGGCTCTTGGTAGGACTTAGGAAGCCATACAGTCTCTGAATGACCATATCTTTGCAGATTAAAGCTGGAAGGGGCCTTCGGGGTCACCCCGTCCAGTAGTTTTCCAAACATGTTGTGGAGAGATGCTTGGAGGCTATTACAGCGGCTTCTCCAGAGCACTTCAGCTTTTTATCTATTTTACACTTTGGAGTTTCCTTTCAGATTAAAAAATACCTCAGAAATACTTGGAGGGCTTCCCTGGTGGCGCAGTGGTTGAGAGTCCGCCTGCCGATGCAGGGGACACGGGTTCGTGCCCCGGTCCGGGAGGATCCCACATGCCGCGGAACGGCTGGGCCCGTGAGCCATGGCCGCTGAGCCTGCGCGTCCGGAGCCTGTGCTCCGCAATGGGAGAGGCCACAACGGTGAGAGGCCCGCGTACCGCAAACAAACAAACAAACAAAACATTCTTGTTAATAACAAGGCTGGTTCTCATAAAAACTATGGAAATAATGCCAAGTTGCATATGAATGGCTCCCAGGTCCACTTGTTGCTGGGAGGGGGCAGGGAGTGGCAGGAGGTTGAGGTGACCCCTTGAAGCCACCCTGACCATGGAGACCATTAGAGACAGGCCCTGGGACTGGGTGCTGGAGGGTTCCCAGGGGCTGGTGAGGAGCCTGCCTGATGGCCAGAGGGATGGGTTCTGCTGCAGGACAAGGGCCTGTCCGGGGTGCTCTCCCAGGAGATAGTGTATTTCTGATTTATCCGCCCTCCTAATGTCCAGCTGAACCCTTGCCAGCCTCTCCACCTGCCTCCCCCTGCCTGTATGGAGTCCCTCCCTTGCAGGTTCCATCCCTGTGCCCTTTGCGGCTTGAGCAGCCGGCCCGCTTCTAGCACAGCGTCACCCCGTCCCCGAGTACTGGACCTCCTATCACCCGCCTGGGGCCAGAGGTTAACAGTGATCATTTACCTTGGTAATCATTTACCCATCATTTACACAGCACCTACTGTGTGCCATGCTCTGTGCTGAGAGCTCCATGGGTGGAACCGTGATAGACACTCACAGTAGATACTGGCTTTAGCACTTCCATAAGCTCTTAAGTAAATACTAGAACAGGTGAGACTCAGCTATGACAAAGATTATGCACATAAGGAATGAGTGACTGATTGAGGGAACAGGAACAAAAAAATATTTACATCTGCATTTCTAATCGTATACAGTGATGACATGGAACACGCTATCAGAATTTATAGAATTTTCTTACAATGTTTCTAAAGTTTCCCAGAGTTTTTCCTTTACAGGATTTCAGATATTTTATAATTTTTTTTCAAGGTTTAAAATTGTGGTAAAATACATGTAACATAAAGCTTATCATCTTAACCTTTTTAAAGTGCACAGTTCAATGGTATTAAATACATTCATAATATTGTATAACCATCACCACCATCCATCTTCACAGTTCTTTCCATTTTGTAAAACTGAAATTCTGTACCCAGTAAACACTAACTCCCCATTCTCCCCTCCCCCAGCCACTGGCAACCTGTCTACTTTCTGTCTCTATGAAGTTGACTAAGTATCTTATAGAAGTGGAATCATACTGTATTTGTCTTTTTGTGACTGGCTTATTTTACTTAGCATGATGTCCTCAAGGTTCATCCAAGTCATGGCATATTGTGGAATTTCCTTCCTTTTTAAGACTGAATAATATTCCATTATATGTATAGGCCACATTTTGTTTATCCATTCATCTGTTGATGAACACTTGGGTTGCTTCCAGCTGTTGTGAATAATGCTACTATGAACATGGGTGTACAAGTATCTCTTTGAGACCCTGCTTTCAGTTCTTTTGGGTAAATATCCAGAAGCAGGATTGCTGGGTCATATGGTGATTCTATTTTTATTTTTTTTGTGAACTGCCTTACTGTTTTCCACAGTGGCTGTACACACCTTCCCACTAATAGTGCACAAGGGTTCCAGTTTCTCTGCATCCTCATCCACACTTACTGTTTCTGTTTTTTTTTTTTTTTTGATGATAGCCATCCTAATGGGTGTGAAGTGGTATCTTATTGTAGTTTTGATTTGCATTTCCGTAATGATCAGTGATGCTGAAACACTCTTGTGATGGTCAAGTGTGGGATTTCTCATCTCCCACATCATCTGATACAACAGCCATAATTCTGTCCCCATTGTACAGATGGAGAGACTGAGAGGGCTGGGTCTTGCCCAAGGTCACACTCAGGTCAGGGGCAGAGCTTGACTTGAAGCCAGGAAGCTGGGTCATGTATGGGCATCAGACTGCCTGGGGTTGAATCCTAGTGCTGCCATTTGCTGGCTGTGACTTCTGGCAAGTCATTTTTTTTTTGCTTGGAGACTTCATTGTCCCCATCTGTGAAATGGGGACTCATGGAGCTGCTGTGAGGGTGCCTGGGTACCCAGCACATGATTGATAATTGCTAACTGAGCTTCAGACATCAAACCCTAGCCCACCCTCACTTTTCGGGGCCAGAGGACACTCAGACTTGGGCCGGGGGCGTGAAGAATAAACTTTAATCTCTCTCGGAGTGGGGCCTCTAGTTAGGCTGCTCTCTGGGTGGGGTCACAGAGCCGTGCACACGCACTCGGTATAGGCAGGTGAAGCGTGGGTTCCCCCAGTTGCTTGATATCTTCATCTTGACTGCTCCAAAAGTCCTGGGAGGGTGGTTCTAGAAAAGAGTCACAGACGGGGGGCAGCTCGCCATAGGCCCCCACCCGGCCTGTCCAGAGGAGTGTTTGGGAGAGAAAGGGAACCCTCCATTTCCTCAGGTGGGGAAACTGAGGCTCAGAGAGCAGAATGTCCCAAAGCCACACAGTAAGTTGCTACTCAGGGGCTGGGATGGAAGGGGATGAGGCCAGAGGACAGATAGACTGTGATGAGGAATGCGTCCCAGCACAGTACGTACGTGCTCCGGGACCCTGGGCAAACCACGGCCTCTCTGGGCTTCAGTTCCCCGTCTGTAAGAGGGAGCGGTAATATCTGCTTCTCAGGGTTGCCGTAAGCGTGAAATGAGATCTTGGGGCCAGATGGCTTACTGGCACCTGGCACACAGTAGGTGCTCTGTAAGTGCTTTGCCCTCCCCTTTTTGCACCCTCCCCAGAGGGGATGGAGCCCAGTGCAAAAGGGGGCCTTGGCCTGTGAGATCTCACTGGATGGTCTCAACCTACCAGGGAATTACACCAGGGGAAACTGAGGCCCAGAGAGAAGGGGAATGGCCTGAGGTCACAGAGAACGTTTGGTTGGGTCAGGATTTGGGTCAGGGTTAGCCTGATTCCCAAGCCTAGACATCCCACTGAGCCTCAGGGCCATTCCAGCAGCCACCCTCTGGTCCTGCTTCTGTCCCCAGCTCCCTCCCCTCCAGGCCTCAGCTTCCGCAGCTGTGGTTGGACCAGGTGCTGATCATGTGGCCGCCCAGTATGGAGACTCTAAGTTTGAGGCCAGCAACCCTGGCCTGACGGGCCCCACCTGCTCAACACCTGCTGTCCCTGGGAGGAACCACAGTGGGAGGGATCCTGGGCAGGTCAGGGAAATGGAAGCGAATAGGTCTCCTCAGGGTCCTACACTAGGCCCTGGGCAGTAGCTCTATCACTCTGGGCCTCAGTTTCCTCATCTGTCAGTGGGTTAGTGACAACTGTGCACCTCCTCGGGCTGCTGGGAGATGAAGTGGGGGCCCCTGGGTAAAGCCCTGCACGCAGTGTGTGTTCATCAGGTGCTCAACGTGGGCAGCTTTTCCTAGGTACCTGGAGCTGGAACATCTGAATGATGTTTTCTGGCTGAAACTGGAACGCTCCCAGGAACACCTCCTTCTTTGGGGAAACTTCCATGCCCTGGAGAATCAGAGCCACAAAGAAAGTGTCAGGCACAGGTAGGACATCTAGAGGGTGCTGCCTTCTCCCAGCCGAGACTTGCACACCTCCCAGGATGGGGAGCTCCCTACCTCTTTGGGCACCGTTCCATTGCAGCACAGAGTAATGAATAGGAAAGAGCATTGGACTGGGAGTCAGAAGGTTAGGGGTCCGCTTCTAACTCTGCCATAGACTTGTAGGGTTTGATGTTTCCCTGCCCTTTCTCTGAATCTCCAGTTTTCTTATCCGTAAAATGGGGGCTTAATGGTCTCTGAAGACTAAATTGGCTCTGAAAAGCTTGGGTTGAAATAAAGTACTGTTTACCCCCTTTCCTTGAAGGCTGTGATCTGACCGCAACCCTGGCCATTCCCAGCCTTAAGGTCCAGCCCCTGCAGGCTTCGGGAATTGTGCAGACAGTTTATCACAGTGCCTGGAATACTGCCATTATGAGCTGTCCCCTCCCTCAGTTAAGCATTGCTCCCAGCCAGGGCATGCTCACGTAGATGACGAAGTCCTTGGGGGCAGTGTCCAGGCTGCCTGACAGTGAGATGGTCTTGGGGATGTGCTGCAGTGTCAGGTTGGACAGGTAGACCTTCTGGGCCAGTTGGATGGTCACCTGGCCTCTGTCACCCGAGAAGGCCCAGCAGTTGCCAGGTGTCATGTTGGGCTAGAAGTGGCAGATGCAATGAGGGCTTTGCTGGGTGGGTGGGTGGGTGGGGGAGAGCAGATTCCTCATCCCACCCTGGGTTCCTAGACCTCATCGGCCCTCCTGGATGAGCCAGATCCTTCCTGTCTACAAAGCTTGGCTCGAGTACCACCACCACCAGGAAGATTCCCTGACTATAGGTAGCAAGGATAAGCCTTCCCCTCAGCCCAGTGCAGCGAGGGCAGGGGCCTTCTCAGGGCCCTGAGGGTTCCCTGCCCTCAAGACTTGAGGGCTGGGGGAAGGGCCCTCTCCAGTGCCAAAGCAGGCTGTCCTTGCCCCTGTGCCTGCACCCCCAGGGGTCCCTGCTGTCTGCACTCGCCTCTTGCCCTTGCTCCCTGACTTTTCCCCAGAGCCCCCCCTCGCCCCATCAGTTGCCCCCTTTCTCTGCCTCTGCACCCCGCTCTCTTGTTCCTACCCCTGCCCCAGGCCCCCACCCCCTGCACTCTCGCTCCAACCTCTGCCTTCAGTTCCTGCCCCCAGGCCCCTCTCCCCAAGTCCTGCCACTCTCCCCAAGTCCTGCCATTCCTCCTGCCTCAAGGATCACGTCCGGGGGCTGTGCATAGTTCCACAGCCGGATCCAGTTCCAGTAAGAGCGAGCCTTGTCGTGGTTGTATGTGGCTGACGTTTGCTCATAGTCGATGGAGGCCCCTGTATGGGAGGTGATGGTGCAGGGTTGGGGGGAGAGGTGTCTCAGC